AATGATAATCTATAGAGATAGGAAAATAATTTCACAAGGTAATATAGTAATATGTTTTCAGGTGTACCAAAAAGTCCTTAATTGTTGGAAAAAAATTCAAGAATTTGGTTGTATACCTGCACCCCCTAACTTTCATTGGATCATGTTTATCTCTTTTCAATTTAGGCTCCATCTAAATAATTTCAAATGTGTCTATTCTGCAAAATTTTAAGTAAATGGGCAAAAAAGCATGTGCACTACTAAGCAATAGTGAAATACTTAAAGACCATCTCTATGTTGATCCTTTTCAAATATCCACCATTAAACTTTAAGGAGTTTCTACATTTCCTGGATTTTTGGGACAACTTTACTTCAAAAGACATTGTACGATTGCTTGGTTATCCCTCAATCAACCAGTTAAAAGGAACCTTACATATTGATTTTAGTTTAGTGTACACATAAAGGTCGACTAGAACTAGTATTCTGTCTCTATCTCCAGTACTACAACCACAGTTTCTCACTAGATTCGAAGGAATTGGGTGGATGGCAATTTAACAATAGAGATCCACCAAAGGACAACTAAGTCTCATCACTGTATACAAAATCGCTTTCTCTTTTGAGTTAATATTCTGCAGAATTTACATGTTTCAATGTTGTTCTTGATTCTTGATGTATTTAAATAAATTTCTAAACAACAAATCTGTTTTACATTTCACAACTCTAAGTGTAATGGTAGTTGAATAAACAACAACTACACAAAACCAACTTCTCCATGTAATCATACAAACTTCTAGTGATTAACATTTAGCACTGTACAAGTAACACCAGGTACAGACTAAAACTTTTGTTTTCAACTGATTATACATTGTATTCCAGTTAAAACAACTGGAACTAAGTTATATGTGTTATAATTTTATCTTCAAGTCAAACATACACAAAAAGTATTGTAAACTCACCTTTAAAATCAACTTCTCCATTTCCATCAGTATCAAATATTTCTATGACTCTTTGTACCAAAGGATTCTGTTGAAGTTCTGGTAGAGACATAAACTCATCCACACTTAATGATCCAGAGTTATCCAAGTCTAATTTCTTAAACCTTTTTCCAAGTCTTTTGATTTCATCAGCATCAACTAAAGATTGCAGAATATTACATACACTATTGTAACAGTGCTGAAATTTAGAACCAAATAATTCATATATTTATATGTCAAATTTTCAAGGAATTGTAACCCTCTTATTAGTATGTCTTCAGTCAAATGAAACCAGAAACAGTAAGCAAATTAAATCATTTTAAGAATGATGTTTGCTTCAGTCTTATTCCAAGATGTATACCAACTAATATCAGATAGATTTATTAGTAAAAGAAGTTTAAATCAAGTCTGAGGTGCATTCTGAGTGATTAACAGACCTCATTGATCAATCAATCTCTCTGTCATATGCCCGAGTTTGATGTTCGTTAGCTGACTTTTTTAAAACTAATTCATCTGCACTCAAACTTTATACTTCCCAAATTCTACAACTTGACTAACCTCAAAGGATTCAATTTTCTCTGACTATGTTTGAAACTAGAAAGAAATTTAATGTCATGAAACAATATTCATACAATAACTTCTATTGGTAAAAGATCTGGGTGAAAGATAATGACACAGTTTTGATTATTCACTTAAGAATGTTTAAAGATATGGTTTCAAACTTTTCTCCCTGATCTTTAAAAAATGACAAAGCTAGTTGTTCTAAACATCACCCTAAAAACAACAAAGAAGGGATAAAGTTAGCTAAAACTTAACAAAATGAAATGTTGAATAAAAGATAAACAAAAATTGGTAATCTTAATACCTTCTGTAAACTTAAGAATTTTGAATCAACTTCAAAGATTTTTTTTTAACTATTAAAAATATATCTATGATACAAACTCAGCAAAGTATCAAACACAAGTATAATTTCTGAAAGAAGCTACATTAAACCTTGAAATTAAAGATGTTTTAAAAGTAGTCTTTCAATCAAATGCTATTGTTTTTCAAAGACTAGTGTTTGATGGCAATGTAAATGTCATTCATGTAGATACTTACAAGTGGAACACATTTCCATAGGAAGCGATACTTCATTTCCCTGATTAGAAAAAAAACAAAAACTTTTTAATAAAAATCATTAGAATTCTCTTGAGATCACACTGCTTTCTTGTATCAAAAATAAACATACTTTGAAACAACATATAACTTTTCTAATTTCATTACTTCTTACCATAACAAGATAGAATCATTTCTTGGTCAATAATGTCTCAAAATTAGCTAAACTAATTCAGATGTTGAAAAAAGAGCATATTAATAATAATTATTTTTATTCTTACAATATAAGCCAGAATATGGAAAATGAGTTTTAATATAGAGGAGTGAAGTTATGCACTTGAGGTGTGAAAATTTGAAGAAAGTTCACAGTGCTTTTTATACAAGAGGAACATTGATACTACATAAAAATATTTAGGAGTAATCCATAGTCAAATCCTACATGTACAGCCTTCTTCTGAATATTTAACTGCAAAAAAACAAATACGACTTTTTAAGTCTATTCAAAGAAATTAATGTGTTAAAAGCAAGAAACTAATATAACCTAATATGACTTTGTTGAAGCCTCATTTAGAATACTATACGTAATTATGTTTCCCTTACAATATAAAAAATACCAACTGTTAGCAAGAAGTTGAAAAGAAATGGGTTACTATAACAAAGTTTTAAGCTACAAAAAGGCTTAATTTGGATGTTTTCTCTGGAAATATAAGTAATTTTTGTTTAAATTCATAGAGACTTGGATAATCTATCTTTTGGGTGGTCTATATTAGTAGAATAAATATGATATTGTGGCCAGTGTTATTTTTGTGATAACAAAGATAGGTGTGTATGGATTTGATAGTGGCCATTATAACACTTTTGAGAAATTCAAAATTCATGTAAATCTTAAGCTGAATTATTAATCAAAGAAACACTGCTGACCAACAAATATAGATACTCTTAATCACACCACCAGCTCCTATCAATTCAATTTAATTGTTCAATTCACTTTATTCATCCCTAATATTATCTTGTTTCTTTACCTTTTGTTTTTTTTCTTCCCTATTGTATGTACATATATATATTAACTTTTGTTATATTAGGTCATCAAGAAATTAATGTCGCTTTTTTTTCAAATGAAAAACCCGAACAACTTATATATCAAAACAAAACATTTATAAAATGAAATAGTCTCCATTCTTATCGATGATGCTTTTCCATCTTACAATCAGGTTGTTAATGCCTTGATTAAATCACTCGGCTTTGAAGCAAAAACATGATGATGTCCTCTTTAACACCTTCCACATTTTCCCATTAAGATGGTGTTGCAACAAATGAAAAAGATGGTAATCTGATGATGCCATATCTGGAGAATATGGTGGGTGGGGGAAAACTTCCCAATCCAACTCCATAATCTTGTATTGCATCAAACATGGACATGCATTGGACCTTTCCTATTGATGAGTGAAGGGCATTTCTGATTTAAACATTCCAGTTGCTGACTACAGATCTCTGCATTGAGAGTTTTCTGTGGATTGAGGAGTTCAAAATTAATTACTCCTTTGATGTCCTGCCAAATGCAAAGCATCACTTTCTACGGTTGGAGTCTAGGTTTTAGAGTCGGAAGTTGTTTTTGTTTTTAGGACTAAGCCATTGTTTTGGGAATTTAATATTCACATAGAATTCATTTTTCATCACATTTTTCCCACAGAAAACTGTTGAAAATAAATTATATATATATAATTTAAAACAAAATGTCTATTTTCACTATTATTTGCATCTTCTTGTTGAAAAAAAGCAAAGTGCTCTTGGTTCTACTGAGAAGAATTTTAAATTTAAAAACAAGTGTTTATTGTTCCCTTGTACAAATATCTGGTGAAGTTTTATATACAGCACTATATGCATTTTTTACTGTTCTTACTGTAGGAAGAATATCAATATGTTGGGAGTTAGAGCTAGTCAATTATATCAATTAGCTCTTTCATATAACCTCTTTTACAGAGTTACATTGAAAAATTCATTAAACAACTTTATTATCAATGTATGTCAATAAACTTGGCATGAAACATAATAATTCAAATTTTTATATTATCTAAGCTTTAACTTCTTCATTTAAAAAAAAGATATATTTAAAAAAAATCTCAATCTTCATTTTTCTGTCACATGACACATTTGAGCTTTGATTTCTAGCTTCTAAGATAGGCTGCCGCAGATTCCAACCAATTAGAAACACACATTATACATAATTGCCAGCAAGCACACACATTATACATAATTGCCAGCAAGCATCTTATTGACTTGCTTAGCTATCAACAAATATATCAAAACCTCACCTCCTCTCTCATTGATATTTGAAATTGTTTGCTAATCAACTTTATAAGGCTGACAGACATGTCTATAAAGAGTAGATTCTTCTCTATGTAACTCTTTTAATACTACACTGTTTTCTTGCCATAACTCATCAAAAATTGTTTAGTTTGTGTTTATGAGATTTGGTGCTCTCTAAAGCAAAAAAAATTTTTAAACCTTTACATAGGTTAAATAGAAAGTGAGTTAAATGGCAATAGTTTTGAGACATTATATTTTGCTTTAGAAATGCATATACAAAAGCACAAATTTTTCTTTGGACACATGAATTTTTGAAACTCAACAAAGCTTAGGGAAGAACATCAAATGTACATACTCCAGTGCAAACAGCTTGAGTAAACAGTGGGTACTATAAATCCTTCTTTTTTGTGTACATTTTTTATATTTATACAACATATATTTATATTTTTTAACAAAAGTAACGAAATTGTAAAAATTATAAGCTTCTCAGTTTATCCTAACCAAACTTCACTAAAATAAAATGTCCAATATTTCACTAGAAGAAATGGTGTAAAACATGACAGGTCACATGCTGTTTACATTAGCTATATGGATACAACTAAAGGGCTCCTGCTGTACTTTATTGCTTTTCACACGAGGATTACTGCTCCAGTGGGTACAACATACAATTGTAAAATAATAAAATGAAAATAAAACAGATGTGGAAAGATTAACAGTTGAAAGTATTAGGATAAGTAATTTGGAGCTTGGTGATTAATACTGTAATCACTGCAGAGGAATAAATAGTATTGTTCATTTCATTATACATTGATGATTTTCTTACAGATGTTATGGGAGAGAGAAAACATGTGATCGAATATGGTTTTACCAAGAAAAAAAAACTTTTGATATTCATTTGTAATAATTTGGTTTCCCTCTTATGAATCATTTTAATTTAAGCAAAGATGTCATCTTGTATCATCATGTTTTCATTTCAAATAGTACAAGTTGTATTGTCCTTGAATTTTTTTAGTAACAGAGTGAATTTGTGTTGACTTTATTACATGTTATGAATCACAAAATGTGTCAAGAATCTTTAGTAGTTTTATCACATGAAATTTAATCATTTTTATCAAAGTATCAGTTTATTAAATTTTAGTAGATATACCTTGTGAAAATGTGTAGGAAAACACCAACAAAAAAGCATTAATCATATTTTCAGCTTGTTACAGGTTTTGTGCTATGTTGCATATATAATACACTTTCATGTACAAACACCTTAGAATTAAAAAAAGGAGCTTAATCATCTTTGTTGTACTTAAAGACCTCTATATGAAATTAAACAAAAGTACTTTGAAAATATCTTTCAAAAACCCCAAACAAGATGAAAATAGGTATATTCTTATGTGAGAATAATTGATTGGTTGAATGTATTTGATTTATAGGTCTGCTGCCCAACTCTATTGGGTACAATTCAGAAGTGGGCTACTACAACTAGTATAATTCCTGGTCTTAGCCAGCTAAACTATGAAGACTTGAACAGAGACTTAACACTTTAAATTTGTTTACACTGCATCACAGAAGAATTAGGATGCTTTTGATATAGATTACATATTTAAAGTTGCTAGAAGTTGGCAATTTGAGTCATGGAATAAAAAACGTTTGAAATGAATGTCACTAAATATCAGGATAATAGGCTTAAGCTTTGAAAGGACAGAATCAGGGTTGTTCTTGCAGATGCTTTTCCCCACCCACTTATAAACTTATGGAAGGTTTACCTGATGCTGTTTGTGCTCAATTTTGGATTAATTTGAAATTTTATTTGATAGGTATATGGATGTGAAAAGTTATATCTCAGGTTTGTTAAAGTAATTAACATCAGATATTTGTTACTAATTTAGAAGGAAATTGAAGTTTGTTACTTATTCCTTATTCATGACCTCTAACTCTGTACCAGTAGTAGAAATTGCCACTATATTTAAAAAAGGATGAGTTGTTACACCCAAAAATACTATTCAAATTTATTTAAGCTATTTACAGCTTGTGGTTGAAACATGGTATGTATTATCATATTTTTCGAAGT